AATATGCACTCAGATCCAGGCTATCTGGGGATGTGTTACACGAATATAAAATGTTCGTTAGTTGTGTAATTATTTTTATGTGTTTTTCAGGCTTTATTTAAAATGGCGATTTGCCTCTGTCCTGGAGATAATTGAATTACTTCTCAATTATCTCTAGGGCAGAGGGGAGGAAACCAGGATGCATTCTGGGAAAATTGTGTGCATGTATGTCTGGAAGTGCCATATGTCTATCTGCCATTACAGTCTCCCATTTGGTCCCCTAGGGGAGTGTCCACCAAGTGGGAGACCTGCATAAATACGGTCGGGTAGCCCACAGTCAAGCCAGTTCTTGTTTTACCCTCAATGCGGAGCTTGGTCTCGTTATTGGGGGATTTACTACACACGGTTAGCGACTGATTGCTGGAACCGTAAGCCGCTTGGAGGATATATTTGTTCGGCTGTTAGCAACGATTCGTGGATTATTGTACGGGAGTTTGGAGCATCCGTACGGGTCCCTTTCGGGAGATTGGCGCCTTCCCCTGATTGCAGTTCGTACGGTTGGAGTCTATATGAATGGAGCTTGCATTATTGCGAAAGGGGAAGCTTAACTAAACGGCGGTTTCACTCCTTTGTGCCAGCGGTGTCGTAACAAGTACCATTAGTAACTTAAGGGTTTTTTTTTTTAACAGCGCTGAATAATGTCACAGGACCAGCCTTAACATTTATGCAGAGTAGTCACTTCCTTGGCATGCCAGGTACATTAATAGAAGCCCTGTTAATCAACAACAGAACTACACTGCTCATATTGCTGCAGTAATTATGCTATAATGTCTGAGACAGGTATCCATATATTGATAGCAACTGTTTAATAATATACAGAGTGTGAGTTCTATTTGTTATACTATGTACTATACCTCTCAACTTTTGTCCTTACAAAACTGGGCTATGGCAACTGATGTGCCATTGTTGTATGATCAGCCACAGTGTGTTACTTCTTGTAAGATATCTTAGTTTAGAGCACATATACATACAATTGTGCTCAAATGTTTGCATACCCTTGCAGAAATTGTGAAATTTTGGCATTGATTTTGAAAATATGACTGATTATGCAAAAACAATGTATTTTATTGAAGGATAGTGATCATATGATCCATTAATTATCACATAGTTGTTTGGCTCCTTTTTAAATCATAATTATAACAGAAATCACCCAAAATGGCCCTGATCAAAAGTTTACATACCTTTTAATGTTTGGCCTTGTTACAGACACAAAAGGGTACACACACAGGTTAAAATGGCAATTAAAGATTAAATCCCCCCACCAGTGGCTATTTAAATTGCAATTAGTGTCTGTGTATAAATAGTCAATGAGTTTGTTAGCTCTCATGGATGCACTGAGTAGGCTGGATACTGAGCCATGGAGAGTAGAAAAGAACTCTAAAAAGACCTGCGTAACAAGATAATGAAACTTTATAAAGATGGAAAAGGATATTAAAAAAAAAATCCAAAGCACGTCCCACTCCAGCGGACTGTGGTGCCACTTACAATCCTTACCTACTCAAGGAATTGGGTGACCACCTTTCCCTGTGAGAAAACATACCTACAAGAAGCTGAGTCCCAGCTCTGCCAGCAGCTGTTCCTGTTATTATTTCTGTTTTTTGTTTGCCCTATTTGTTTATGTCTGTTGATTGCTTATCAGTACTAGCTTGCACTTACTCAGCATGTTCAGGGCCGTCTTTAATAACGAATGGACCCTGGGCAAGTGTTTGCTTGGGCCCCCTGTGCCCTGCCGCTCTCGCCCCTCACTCCCTGGTATGCAATCACGGCATCCATCCCAACGCAGTGGCGGTACTAAAGTAGAATGAATTTTATTGGGACCCCCAATTGCAAGGTTGGACTAAAGGTAGAACCCCATCTGTCGTGCAACTCCAACAATGCTTTGACAGCTGGGACTCTACCAATTTCCCATGCTTGCAGGGTTGTATTTAGCACTGAGCCATGTTAGTATGTTTGAATGTAAGCATATGTTTGGATGGAGTATGTTTGTGTGAATGTGTTTGTATGTGGTACTGGAGTTTGAATGCAAGTGTGCATTTATGTGTAGTGTTTGTTTTTGAATGTAGGAGTGTGCTTGTATGTAGTGTTGACGTTTCAATGCAGGAGTGTGTTTTATATGTAGTGTTGAAGTTTGAATGGAGGGGTGTATTTAAAGTTGCGGCTCAGATGCACAGGTACACACTCTGACGCACAAGCAGATACACAGATACATACACTGACTACATACAGATAAACAGGCACATACACTGACAGACACACTGACACAGGTACATATATTGACACACACACAGACACATACACTGGTAGACGTACTGACAGACATACTGATACAGGCACATATACAGACATACTGACACACAGACACATATACCGACATACTGACACACACACACAGACACATACACTGATCAACATACTGACACACATACACTGACAGAAATACTGACACCCACACACTGACAGATATACTGACACCCACATACACTGAGAAATACTGACACCCACATACACTGAGAAATACTGACACACACACACAGGCACATACACTGACACACACAGACTGATATACTGACACACACACACACAGACATACTGGCACACAGACAGATATACTGACACATGCATACACATGCACTAACAGACATACTGACGCACTGACAGACATACTGACACATACACATACTGACACACACAGATATACACACACATATATACTGACACCAGGGGCGGACTGAGAACCCTCAGGGCCCCCGGGCAAAATAAATCAAGGGCCCCCTTACAGGCCCCACCCATACTCTGCAGCAAGCGCCACCCTTGTCCCGCCTCCAGCCACACCGTACACAATCTTTAGACACAAGGAACAAAAGGGCAATAAGCCCTTCGAGGCCCCAGTAGAGACTACAATTGAGGGCTAATGGGCCATGGAGGGGGGTCTTTCTAGCGGAGGCTATCTCAGTGTCCTTTAGAGGGTGTGTTAGAAAGAATCTCCTCCAAGCCCCATTAGAGACTACAATGGAGTCTAAAAGGCTTGGAAGGGGGTCTTTCTAACAGAGGCCATCTCAGCGTCCATTAGATATCCCCTGCTGGAAACAGTCGCCTCCAGGCCCCAGTAGAAACTACAATTGAGGGCTAATGGGCCATGGAGGGGATTTCTAGCAGAGGCTAGAGTCTAATGGGGCCTGGAGGGTGGTCTCTCCAACACTCTGGTTCCTATTCACAATATAGCAACACAACATAGCTAGCTGATACCTAAGCCAAGTTGGCTCCTCTTACCTTAATTACTGTTGCTGGCTGGCAGTCTGTGGGCTTGCTGGCTGCGGCTGGCAGGCTGTGGGCTTGCTGGCTACTGCCGGCAGGCTGTGGGCTTGCTGGCTACTGCCGGCAGGCTGTGGGCTTGCTGACTGCGGCTGGCAGGCTATGGCTTGCTGGCTGTAAGCCTGTGGCTTGCTGTAGGCCTGTGGGCTGGCTACTGGCC